CTCTATGTGTTAGACACCAATTTGCTGGCAGGAAACAGGACTGTAATTCTCAGGACTTGGCAGCTCAAACCATAACACACAGCTTATCAGTGCTGATGGCCCCTCCCCTGCCACATGCTGAAGGCCACAGACTCCATGGTCAGAGTATCTCACAAGTGTCCAGACCAGCCCAGGGGGACTTCCCTGGTGTCTAACATTCCACAGTGGCTCTGATGCTGCCCAGCCTGCTGGCTTGGCCTCTTGTTCCTCATCCTTGGTTGGATTTTGGGACCAGGTGGGTGTTGCTTCTGGGTTAGCTGGCGTGGAGACCCGTGGCCCTGCCTCTGGGAATTTAAGTATCTACACCCTTGGCCTCACCCACCCCAACACCAGGCTTCATGCAGGAGCATCACTAGGGGCGTCTGTATGCTGGGTCCTCTGCTCAGAAGCCGTGGTGAGCATCCTTGGTGCCTGGAGGATGGGCATCCAGGTTGTCCCTCAGACCCACCAAGGTACTCTTAGTCCCCATTCTCTGGGTATCAGCTTCCCCTTGGGGCTGGGTGCCAGTGGTTTCCGGCTTGATGCCTGTATACTTTCTTCTAGAAGCCCTCCAGAGAATCTTTTCCATATCATTGGCCTGACTTGGGTCAGGCCCCCATCCTGATTGGCCCAAGATGATGGCCCATAGTTGGAAGTGGGCCGGCTGGGTAAGGAGGGGTGGACACATGAACCAAAATTGGGGTGAGACTTTCAAGAAGGAGGGGAGATGGATTCTAGACTCTTGGACCTGTGAATGTCCACTCCATGGTGGCTTCCAGAGACCAGGGAACCCAACTGGATGGAGACTGTATCAGTGTGAATATGACACTCAGGAGACCCTTGCTTTAATCTCTCCATCCAGTCTGTTAGGCTGGCCTCTGTAGGTCAGCATGTGACAGAGCACACTGCCCACATAGGCCTGTACCTCCCTGTTCCAGGAGGAACATTCATCAGACATGCCCCCCCTCCCCCACTCCCCTGCCTCCTTGTCCAGAACCTGACCCACCACTGGAGACAGTATAGACAGCCTGTGACCTTCCTGAGCCTGTGTCTGTGTAGACCAGCCTCCCTGACCCACCACTGGGGACAGTATAGACAGCCTGTGACCGTCCTGAGCCTGCGTCTGTGTAGACTGGCCTCCTTGACCCACCACTGGGGACAGTATAGACAGCCTGCGTCTGTGTAGACTGGCCTCCTTGACCCACCACTGGGGACAGTATAGACAGCCTGCATCTGTGTAGACTGGCCTCCTGAATGGTCACTCATTCATTCAGCTGCCATGTCCCTCTTCAGCACTGAGATTCCAGACAGGATAAAAATGTGCCTGCAACCTGCGGGGAAGCAGACTAGAACAGTTATGGCCACAGCAGGTGCCATCTCTGTGGTGTATCTAAGGTTTTAGAGACAAAAGGGAGAGCTGCCGCCCCACTACACAGGGGAGGTCGGGGCTGGGGCTCGGAGGCCTGTCCCAGGTAAGAGTGGCAGGTAGAAGAGGCAGGTTGGCAGTTAGAAGTTGGCTGAGTTGGGGAGGCACAGGCGGTCCAAGCTATTTCTGGGGAGCCTGAAGTGCAGGGGAGAGTCTGGGGCCAAGGACAACTTGTACAGGAGGAGGTGGGAGGCCTGGGGCAGCCATGACCTCCATC